ATAATAAGTATTAATTCTTTTTAATCATTTTATTTAGCTTCTTATAGTCTATATATAGTTAAAATTTTCTATTCTTCTTTTTTATAATTACTATAAGTACTAATCAAAAACTTTCTGATAGGAATATTATATCATTTTCTAGTATCTTCTGGATCTTCTCTTTTAGAAAAGTATTTTCCATTAGTAATTTATAATAATAAGATTAAAATATAATTAGTTATTCTTCTTCTAAGTATATTTTATATTGAAAAATATTAGTTTAACCAGATTAAATTATATCAAACAAATTTTTATAATTATTTAAAACTTGATAAAGTTATTATTACTATTTTGAACTCAAGCTTAACTAAATTATTATTAAGATACATTAAGTAATAACTGAGATAATATCTTTAGTTAATTATATATACTTTATTTCTTTTTATATTAAAGATATTTGTGTTCTTTTCTGTTATAAATACATGTATTATAATTTTCTAGTCTTTTTTAACAGATTCTTTCTTTTTTTTCTCATTTAATAACTTTATTATTGATTTTTATGAAGTTTTTTTAAACTTTTACTATTATTATAAGCTACTTATTTTACTTTTTGTAAACTATATATAATAATTAATCAATTAATTCTTCTTTCTTATACTTGAATTCATTATTATTATTAGAAGCAGGCTCTTCTAATTCTTTTTTCAGACTGATTAATTTTATTATTGATCTTTATTACATACATATAACTAAAATAATAGCTTGTTCTCTTTCTAATTCAAAACTGAGAAGCTCTAAGAAAAAAAATAATATAAGGGTGTTCCGAGCCGGAACAGTATCACATAATGTGGCGCAGTAGATTAAATTTATTAGTTTGGGTAACGTTAAACTATCGGAGAATTACACATGAGAAGGAAATTTTTTATGATATATGAGATCTCATCTTTAGTTAGATCAGAAAAACTGGATGCAATAAAAGATCTAATATTCTGGATTTTATCTTCTCCGATCTTACTAAATACATCATAAATTTTTCTAGCCGTATCTGTTCTTTTACGCACCATAGTATCTTTAGTTTTTTTCGGAAGCTTTTCCTTAACTTCTTTATTTAACTTTGTATGCGCTGTCTGTGGAGGGTTATTTTTTAACAATACAGCAAGTCGTTCTGGCAGAGCTCTCCCAAACCGAAAGTAGCATTGAATTACATCCCGGTTCTCTTGATCACCCTTCTTTTCAGCAATATCAACGTCGTAGTATAATTTATGGAATTGATTAGATATTTCACCAATATTGGTGGTTTCAGAAGGAGTGCTGATTGATGGTCCACTGCTGGTTGAAGCAACAGATAACTCTTGAATGATTGCTTTTGGTTTTGTGGCCCTTTTAGGTCTACTTTTATGAGTATCCCCTTCTTGAATCTTCCTTTTTTTCTTGGGTGTTTCGTTGACTAAAACAGTAGGCGAGATATAATATCCTTCTTTTTCCAGATCGTTGATAGATGGGCATTCGGGACATAGCTTACGCTTATTGGCAATACATTCGAGAAATGCACAACATGGTTACATGGCAATAATACGACCGGCTCCAAAATTTCCGGGGAGATTACTTCAGAACACTTGGAACAATTCCTGGATTCACCTTTACCCTCGACATCCCTCATTTCCTCATCTTCTTCTCCGATTACAGGGAATTGAGCTGAAGTTGATTACTCATTCTCCTAACTATTGATGAAGTGCTTGACTGAGACGATTGAGAAAATCTTCGTTCGGTGACCACAGGCTCGACAGATTTATTGCAATTAGAAGTGGGACATATGTTCGATTATGTAAGTAGAAAATTTTTCTCGATACATCTTCTATGGTAGATATGTCCACAGGCGAGAATTGTGAATGGCTCATAAACAAGTCCAAGGATTTCATTTCCACATTCTCCACAATTTCGACAAATTGTCTATCTTTGATAACAACATCGCCAAGTTTTTTTAGAATGTTATATGCAAAGGATCGAAGATTAGATAGAGATATAGAACCAAATAAATTTTATATATAACAAATTTTATATAACAAATTTTTCGTATAC